AATAATAATCCATTCTGCTATTTGAGTTGCAGTAAAGAAATGACTGAGTCCTATTGTCTAGGTATTAATTGGGAACATGTAAAGTACTTTTTATGGAAGCTGAGTGATATGTTTCCTATTATCTGGAGCACCCTTAAATCATCATGGAATGACGGTAGTGTTAAGAAGCTATTTAGCAGATTCATTAGCAAAAATGATCAGCTGTTGATGAAAGCACTGCTGAAAGAACAGCTATACAGTTGTTTCTCTGGGTCATGTCAGACTGATAAATAAAAGGTTAGGCTGAAACATGGCCCTGCCAAGCAAGAGATCCCATCTCCCACCGTTATCCTTGCGGCCACTGTTGCACCTGCCAGCTCTCACGACGCACTGCATGTGCTGCCTCTGTGAGCAGGGTTTCTCAGTCAGCCCATTTGCCTGGATCCGTGAAGCACAGGGGCTGCCTTTCCACGCAGGAGGGCTGTGCCTATTGCAGGGGATGCTGCATTCGGAAGCAGTGGCAGGAGAAAACAGCAGTGGGTGAAGTTCCCAGCACATAAAACACCAGGATGATTACTGTTCTCCCGTGTTGATGTTGGTTTTGAACGGGAGCAGGACACTGACTCCTGCCCTGCTATTACAGAGGAGAAATAAAACTGAGCTGCGGAATGAATTAATAGCTAACACCATGATTACTCTCAGCTGTTAGCACAAGTTGTAGGAGGGGGGAGGAAAATGGGAGAGGGAGGATAAAACCCCCCACTCAACGCTGCCTAGGGAATACCGTGGAATTTCGGGCAGATACGTTGCGGACTAGCAGCATGCCTGACTGCACTTGAGTGCGAGCACTGAGCAGCAGCCTCACGTTGTATCGTACCGTTTCTAAGGCTGGAGGAAGAACAGCAAAATAGTAATGGATTTGTGTACAGTGTTTCTGCATAAATGGAAAATAATATAAAGATGGTGGTATGTAATTTGTATTTTATTTTTAAGAAGAATTTAATCCAGGTATGTATGCTTTTTTTTTATTTTTGTGTCTAGTCTACATACAGTTTTCGGCTTCCTTTGTTTCCTTTTCGTATTTTCATTCTGAATGTACCTCCCACTCTTCTTGCTAATGCAATGCATTGATTTGTAACTGATTTGCTTTCTAATGCTATAATGTTGATGAAATTGTCTGGGCTTCTGGAATTAACACTTCATTAAAAAGTGGGGGGGTAATTTTGTAAGGTACCAACTTCACAATGTAAGTTGAGTAAGACAGCGTGGTGTTTGATTTCTCAATGAGTTGGAACATTTTAATTGGTATAAAAAGATAAATAAATTAGTTATACGAATACACAGTGAAAATATAGTATGTTTTTCTTATATATGTCAGTACTTTTTTCCTAACTTGTGACAGGATTAGTAATAAATTGAGCTTTATGGATGCTTATGTATTTCTGGGTCTTGATTAATCTTCAAGATGAACACCCTGCAGCTTTCTTTTGAAGAGGCAGCTTGCTTAGACTACAGGCTTGATTCTGTTCCACAGCTAAATCTGTGTCTTAGAATACCCTCTCCATATACCTCCCCCAAGCCCAACCTAAAAAACCACCAGAGATATTTTATACTTTTTTGTCCATCTTTTTAGGTTCAAGAGGATAACATCAGCATTTTGCCTTCTGCAATTTCAGAGGCCAAGTAATAGTAGCTGAAACTAATTTCTTACTGTGAGATTGAGGGTTCATTTTGCTTTAAGAGGAAGAATTATGCAGATATAAAAATCTGACTGTATTCATTAACCCTTAACTTTCTTTAGTCACCTGGCTCCTTTTGCATTTTTTGTCTTATTAAGAATATTTTCTTTCTGCTGACTACAGATTATATGTAATAAGTGAAATAGAACATAATGCTATGTGTTCTTAAACTAAGGACACTAATAGTTAGTCCAGTAGAATGTATTAAACCCACTTAGGTAATGCTTATTTGATTATTCATTAGTTCGGAAACATCTCACAGCATTCTGTTGCATTTCAAATTTGAATGTAGCCCAGTTTTAAGAAAGATGATTTTTTTTTTTTTTAATAACATGTTGATCCAAAAAGGGTTAATATCAATTCCAGCATCTTAATACTGGTGTTAACTGTTGGCTGAAAGGAATTCTTATGCCTGAAAAACATTCACTGGAGTAACAATGATTGCTTTCTGAAGTAGAAATAAACTCTGTCCATGAAGTTGTAGTTATTTTTCACAGAGAAGGTGATACAATGCTTGTTTTCTGATTGAAGCTGGTGGTGATTATATAAAATAGTTGCCTTTATTTAGTGTAATACACAGCTATGATTTGACAATTGAAAATGGAAGGTTACTTGATACATTTGAATGTTCTAAAAATCAGTGGTAATTCTTACCATCTAAATCAACATACTGAGGAAAGCAATGAGAGAATGCTGTTAAGAGCACTAAGAGTCAAAAGTAGAATTTAAGGTTAAAACATGTGTTGTTCATCATAAATTATTTTTGTAAAGGGTAATATGATAGAAATTATGGTTGACTGTCATCTCAAAGACCTTTCCTACGGAAAGAAGCCATGATGCAATATATATGAGGTTTCTTTAGGTGGAATACACACAACTTGGAGAGTTGTATAAAGGTCTTCTGTCACTATCTATTTGCTTGGTGCTGTAGTGATGTCACCACAACATTATCATAATGACTATATATTGCTGTGAAAACACTTAGGAAATCTCAGGTGAAGTATTGGGATTCCAGTGTTACTCAGGAGGAGAAGACTGATAGCTCAGAATATCTCACACTTCATTAAAGCATCAAGGAGGACTGAAAATTCCAAGTTTTCTTTTAACTGTAGTCTTGTGAAAGTCTAGGAAGAATGTAGTATAACAGCTTCTGACTTTTGAGACCAATACAACTCTGAAGCATAAAAATTCTTTGGCACCCAAGAAGGTTCTTATGCAGGTTTTGTTTTTCTCACTTGTGTTGTTCACTTCAGTTGACAGCTCTAAAGCAGAGGGTCTTACTTTCAGGTGTAAATCTAAATATCACTCACTATATTGTAGCAAAGAAGGCAGAGATTTTTTTCCTTATAAAGTTTTGCAACAAATTTAAAATTGTGTTTAATATGTACCATCCTCATTAATGAAAGTACTTTCACATGTTTAACAAGCGTGGCTTTTATCTGTGTGTGCCTACTCATCCTGGTGTGTGTTGTTGTCAACAGTACTTGTAGTGGTTTGTGCTTGTGGCATTTTTCAAATTCAATGATTGCTACCATTTATCAAATGAAAGGCCTCTTTATAAAAGCTGCCTGTTTCATAATTTTATGTTCTAAAAATGTTATGTAATTATTAGTTTACTAGAGTTTAGAAAACACGTGGGATGGAATCTAGAGGGCTACAAGTAACATTTTGCCCATATAAAATTGTTCTCTTCATCTAAACGTTTCATCAGGAATTTCTGTAAATACTTTCAAAAAAATCTTCCCAAAACCCCAAGGAAACAAAAAAAAGCTGTAGAGTGGTGTAGTGTACACATGGTCACAGACTTCATGGCAAACTCCATCCAAGAGGGATCTAATTCAGGGCAGTGTGTTGCCTGTTCTAAGGCTCAAGCCAGTACAGTTAGAGGATTAAAAATCTATACCTGAAAGAAAACTGAGGGCTTTTTGTTTAATTATATTTTCTGATGGAATTATTATCAACACCAGTTTAGGTTGCTGAAAAGTTTGAAATGTTATTATTAAAAGAAATTTTGAATATACTCAGTATACTGCAAACATATTCTCTACATATGTGTTATGCTTCCCTGTAAATTAAATCACTTCTCAGTGTATAATGTCTAAAAAACTCTCCTTACTAAAACACAGATAAAATTAAGGATAGAACTGAGATTTCGTCAATTGTATATTGATGCTTTCTATCTTTTAAAAAACATTAGATAGGTTCTGATTATTCTGTACTCTCTATATATTCTGTACTGTATAACTCTTGTTTATTTGTGGTAATCTGACATAATAGCATGCAAGTAATAGCCTAACTCAGAAGTTAATATGTCTGGTACCAACTTAGTAATACAATAATCCCCATATTGTCAGCAAATAACTTTTCCCTTCACACATTTTCCATTCCTTTTGTAGTCTACATTTAAACAGAAATGAACTATTAGGTGGAATCATCTCAATTTTAGCAGTTTTTGGAGTAAGGGTATTGACTAAAAATAAGTTTATGTAGGACAGCACACATCATATAGTCAGCTGTAAAAGGGGGGAAAAGTCACTGCTGCCACCTTCTTTATACACTGGAGTGTTTTTTTCCCCCTTTTTTAATTGAAAAAGTTGAGGAAACAACTAGAAACATTAAAGAGAAAAAGGTTATAGTACATTTAGTCAAACACTATTGAAGCTGTGTTCCAAGTCATTTGCAGTCTTTATTCTTGTGTGCATTAGTACACTCAATTACCCTATGCTAAGCTGTCTGTGGACAGCTCCCAATGGAGCACATTTTACCTTTAGAATCTGTTCAGTAGCTTTTTACATCGAAGTATTAATCTACTGTATTTGGCACATCTCTTCCTTTGGTTTTAGTTCTAGTCAAGACCATTGTCCTTTAAGAACAACTGCTTCAAATATCATTTTCATTTTTGTAAAGTAAGTACCATACTGCAGATTTCTTTCTAAAGAAATAGTGTTCTAAATGTTTCATTAGTAATTCATAAATAACTGAACGACAACTTTAGCCTCACAGTTGCTGCAACAAAATTTCTTAGAGAAAAGCATAAATATTACAGATACACACAAAGGTGTGGAGAACAGTGTAACTAAAAAAAGTAATTATGTAAATTATTGCAAAATAGTGGGGGGTTTTTTTCAACTCATGTCTGTGTTCAACAGTAATTGAAAAAAACCCCTATCTTTTACTGCAAAAGAGTCCTCTTTTTTTCCCATAGTGGTCATAGCAGTGGGGGAGCAGTGAAGATGACTTTTCTTTCCGGAATAATTACTCATCCTAGCTTGCTGGGAATTTACATTTTTTTCTCAGCTCTCCTGAAGAGAATATGCTTCTATATATTACAAAGTAACTGAGTTCATTCACTAATGCACAAAGTTCTGTATGTGATTTCTGTTTCAGACTCTATTTTAAATCACAATGAGTGAAAATCAGTTTTAAGCCTGTGCTGCTTGAATCTGTCATCCTTAAACTCAATTAAGTTGTATGCTGAAAGAACAGGTATGTTACAGCTATGAATGACCAGTATAATAAGCAGTATAACTGCTAAAAATTTAGGTTGGATTCCACCTTGTACCTGATGAATATACATGCAAACTCTTCAGGACAGCAGTAGGTCTTGTGGGCTAAAACATAAGCAGCTTGTGGGATCCTTAGATTGGGTTTGAAAAAACAGTTTAGTGTCAGTTGTATTTATAACATTCCCTATAAATAGAGAGGGCAACATGTTTAATGGTGTTCAGATACATTAATAGCAGGATCCATAAGGAAATGTCACCAGATAAATAAGCAGATATAGTGAATTTTCAAAAAAATTTTTATGAAAAATAGGAATAACTTTCTAGCCAAAAGGAGACACTGCTGATAACACTCCACGCTCTTGTGTGAGTGTTGGAGGGGCTAATTCAGTAGGACAAAGGTCTACTGGTGAAAATCTAAGGAATTCCTGGAACAAAGAGTAATTATCCAAAAGAGGAAGCAGGACTACTCCATTGTTATGGCCCCCACCTTTGCCAGGGTCTGCAGGCAGGCCATCCATGTAGCTTGTGCAGTATTAAGATGTGCCACCTGACCTTGAAAGACTCACCAATAATGCACATTAAAAGTGTCAGCATTTAAGATTATGAGGAGAATTTAAGAAGAATGTAAAGGAGCAGATAATTGTTCTAAATTAAGTTCTTCTGAATTAGGTCATCTGAGATGATTGTCAGTATAATGCCACTGTTATAGTAAATTAATGAAGCTCTCTGGAGTATACACCTTGTTTAAAGGAAAGTAGCAAAGGTTTCACCCAAGAGACGTGCACTGAGGGCAAGTACAGCTATGTCAAGATAACCTTATTCCCAGGCAACCTTAAGACTAGTAAAATACCATCCTTGATAAATCTGTGCATCTGAATTCTTTTATTGATTCCTTGTGTTCCTGAAAGTAAGAGGACCTCTCTTAGCCTTAGTTTCTGTGGCTGGAAAGTAAGTTGTTTACATTTTTTTGTTATGTGTGATTAATTAATTCCTGTGAAGCATTTTGCACATCAAAAAAAGACGTTACTGTCTATAGACAGTAGTGACTATTTTGGCAGTAATACAAAGTGGTATTGCTGCAGAAAAAGACTGTCTGAGTTTGTTTTGTTTTCCTCTACTGTCTTGGTGTTGTGAACACAAACTTTCGTGTGGCATTTTGTAGAGGGAGACTGCACTTGAGTCTCATCTTCTTCCCTGTCCCCTTCGAATACACACAGTCCCCTTGCAGTTGATTCATAGTGTAAAGGCTGAGCAAGGCTGTGGTTCTACCTGGTTCTTGCTTTTTTTTTAAGGAGACAGTCTGCATCCACAAAGGTTGGATGGAGGGAGCTGCTGCTCTACAGCTTTATTTACTGGGGTCTGAACAGAAGCTCAGCAGCGATCTAACTATTCTATTTAAATACTGAAATCATGTTTTTAAGATGATTCAATTTTCTTTATAAGAATAAAGGGCTGGATTTGTTAAAATAATTTTGAAAAATTGGAATCTATGAGGGTCTGGTGCTCAGACATATAACTAGAATACACTGCTTGCATTGTTTAAAAAGCTGTAATTTTTAACCCAGCCCACTCCACCCCCCTCCTACCTGACACATTAGTTTTAGACTTGGAAAAGAATCCTTTATAAGTGATGCTTCCAACTGACATATTTATTTTGACAATGCTTTATTGTCAACAGTATCCAAATTACCTTTTCACCTTCATGTTGATTGGCAAATGTCTATTTTCAGACTTCCTATGGGTAAAAAGTTGATGGAAGTGCCATTGTGTCCTTTCTTTGTAGAAGAAACCCATTAACAATTTATTTTAGTTCTAATCTCACAATTCATAACACTTTCCAGTTTCCTGCTCTATAACCATCTAGCATAAAGTCCATACATCATTATTGTATCATTTCAACTTGATTCCTTATGCTTAGAATGGGTTAATTCAATGGTGTTCAACTTTATAATATAAATTGTTTTAATTCAATAAACAAGGAAAGTAAAAATTCAAAAAATCAGGTCCTGATGGCTTATTGGGAGACCTGAATAAAACCAGAAAATCTCTGAATGACAACTTGCAGATCATTCAAATAATTGACTTAGTCCTATGTGCTTCTTAAAAGAATGTTCCTTATTTTCTAAAGTTTTAACCTACACTGATTTAAAATGTTAAGAACAAGCCATGTAAATCTTTACAGAAAGAAATGGATGAGACCTATAATGACTCAAACTTGATTCCATGTGTAGATAGACAATTTTAGAAAATGAGTTTTTGACAGTGCAATGGTAGGCTGTAAACTGATTAACAGATCATATGACTAATACAGCTGAGATGGAATAGAACTCGCATGAGAGAACATAAATCTGCTCCATTTAGCAGATCTCCCTGTGTTTGTAACAGTACAGCTTTTAATTGACTATGGCATTGTCAGAAACTGGGTTTCTGACAAATTGAGTGCTGAATGTGTACCTACTTGTAATACTTTCAATTATCTCTGATAAAAAGCACAAGATAGACAGTAGGTCAAACACACACACACATATATATATATATATCTGGCTGGCTATGAAATCAAGATTATTCTACAGAGAAGCATTAAGACTTATTTAAAATGAATGGAAATATTCCAGATTCCAGTGATAACTTCATTATTTCTTGATGTTTTTAGGCTGAGACAGGAAACAAGCCTTCTAGCTTGTTTATTCATTCTTAGTTTGAAGTCATTTGAAGAATGTCCAAGTTATCCAAGTGAAGTTTATATAAGAAGGCATTTAAAAATCTATTTCTGTGGGGGCATAGAAGGCAGGCAGTCACACTTAAATCCTATTCAATAAATGGTTACAAACATTCAGTGTAAGAGCTGAATGGTTAACAAGTGTTTCTACACCTAGAAACATACCTTTGACATTGAAAAGTGTCCCAGGGTGGTTCCTTTCGCTACTAATAATATGTGAAAACCAGGCAGCCTTGGCTGTAGTGAAAGCTTTGCAATATTCTGAGATGCCATTTGCACTCCTTGAAAATTGCATGCAGTCACATTGAGCACTCCTTTGCTTCCAAACGTTGCTTGCTCTTAATTCACTCTTAATACTCTGACTTCAGGCATAAGCCTACAAGAAAAAAGAGTGGCAAGAGCTGTGCTGATGATACGTTATAAACGTGACTCATGTCCAGCAGATATTTCAGCTTTTTATAAAATAATAGGTAGTAACTTTGGAAAGGATGAAGAATGTCGTTTATTCTTGTTCTGCTTGCTCTTGGTCTGCATTCCAATTTTGTTATAACTGGGAAAGAAATAAGTCTGTTTACATCCTCTGTTCCAGGATTCCAGAAGCCAACCAGGCTTTTAGCAGCTCTCCCTGTGCTTTCTGCAGCATAGTGCATTTTGCTGCTGCAGTGTGAATCAGTGGTTAGTGTTTATTATTGACCATTGCATGAGTAAGGTCAGTAAAGACAAACCATGTTATGCAAAGACTAGATTTTGAGGTGTGTGAGTGTTCCATAATGTCTCATACAGTGCCATGCTGTTTGCAGACAAGAAGGACAGTTCATATTCTTTGTGCCTCTGAAGACACCACAGAGCAATTTTTAACCCTTCATATACCATGTATCTAAATAATATTCTAATTCTGCCAAAGAATTTTTAGCTGCTTTAGGAACCAAAATGGTCATTTTAAGAACTTCTTTGTTGGATTTTTTGTGAGCTATTTGTCTTGTTTTTATTCTGCAGCCATGAAACTGGGAATGATATGCTGTGCAAAAATACATTTACATGTTTAAAGTGTGTTGACCACATTTCTATAGAATACAAACTTTCGTTTTATGGAATAGAAGCTTCCAGATACCTCATGAAATCTTTTCTTAGTCTTCTTTTAGATCAAACAGCTTTCCTGTTATAATGACACCTGTTTCCGTCCTGCAACTTGTAAATCATATCTGTATATTATTTTGTATAGGTTTGATGTTTTCCTTCTGTTACCAGAACAATGTCAAATTTAGTAACCTAGTTGAGAAGGTCCATCAGTTGTCATTAAGATTTTCTGCTATTTTCTATGCCTTTTTTGGGGGGGTTTTTTTACTTCTTAAAGAAAAGAAACAAAGAAGATATGCTTACTTTTGAGTCCTGGCTTACCAGACCTTGTTGAAGTCTGATATTAAAAGAAAGCATCTATTTCCCAAACCATAATCATGTATATAGTCCAATGTCAAGATAGAACAGTACTTCATGGATACAATACTCATTTGTCATATCTGAATCCAACCTTGGTCCAAAAGATAAAGCAAGAGAGAACTTTCTACTTCTGTTTTACTAGACAGTAACAACTTGCTTCCCTGTCTGTTTTTTGATCACTGCTGTATATCATATGGATCTAAATTGAAATGTCATTACTCTGAAAGAAACCACAGAGCATTAGTACGAATATTTCTGTTAAAGTCAGAGAATTAAAGTGGAGGAAGAAGCCTGTAAATAAGTATAGCTTTTTCATTTATGTTAAAAATATTCTCCTAGAACTGTTTTCAGTTTCTATTATTCATGAAAAAATCTATTCAGACAATTATGGGGAATCATCTGTGTTTCCACTGTAACCTAGTTAAAACAGCATCAGTATTACTGAATGATATGTTTGCTTGGCAGCCATTGTAACATCATTCCCTCCTTTTTAGACACTTCAAGAAGCCATGAACAACAGAGGGAGATTTTGCAAGATGTACAAAACCCCTTCAGGATTTTGTTTCCAACAAGCAGATGTGTGATTCTTTTCTTTTTTCTTTTTTTTTTTTTATTTTTCTGTCAAATTATTCCAGAGCAACAATAGTTTATATGGATATGGTCCCCACTGATGATGATCCCGTTGGAGATACAAATACTTGTCTGGATCAAAAATGGTGTTTTGTGGAAACAACTTGAAATAAATTACACTCCATGGTTTCTGCCCTGTTAAAGAGCCTGATCTCATCTTACATATATAAGATCCGCAAAGGAATGTTTACAAAGAAATCGGGAAATAGTACAAAAAGGAAAGAGAGTTGTCAGAGCAAAAAGGAACAAGACTTTACTCAGATTGGACATACAAAGAATCCAAAATTTTCAAATACTTTAAAAAGCACGGTTAAAAAGATTGCCAAGTGTCCATCTGCTCGCAACTTATCAACTGAAGAACAGGAAGGCAATAGAGAATTTTCCCTTTCGCCAACATTCAGTTACAGAGTTGCTATTGCCAATGGACTGCAAAGGCATGTTTTGGTAGCACACACTAATAATGAAGATATAGTTCAAGATCTGTCTTCAAATGATAGCTCGTGTTCTGACTCTTTAAGTGAAATAAAAAGTAATAGCAAGAAGAACGAATACTCATCACACACAATGCCTGTGAGACGCAACAGGAAAAGCTTGAGCAGCCTCGCACCATCCGATGGAAGTTCAGATGGAGAACGCACTTTGCACACACTGAAACTGGGAGCTTTACGAAAACTAAGGAAATGGAAAAAGAGCCAAGAATGTGTCTCATCGGACTCTGAACTAAGTACATGGAAGAAAACATGGGGATTAAGAAGTAAATCTCTGGACAGAACTGGACGTCACCAGAAATCAAACACTCTTGAACCTGGCTTTAGTTCGACAGGTTGTATTAGTCAAACCCATGATGTTATGGAAATGATCTTTAAAGAGCTTCAGGGAATAAGTCAAATTGAAACAGAACTCTCTGAATTAAGAGGGCACGTTAATGCTCTGAAGCAATCAATTGATGAAATTTCCAGCAGTGTCGAAGTTGTACAAAATGAAATCGAACAGTTGCGAACTGGGTTTGTACAGTCCAGAAGAGAAACCCGGGACATCCATGACTACATTAAGCAGATAGGCCATCCAGGAAACAAAGCAAGTCTTAGGTTTCTAAACGTGCCTGAAGAGAGACTTGAAAAAACTGAAAGCATAGTTTACAAAATATTGATAGATAAAATGGGCTTTTCAGAGGCACAAAGTACTATTAAAATCGAATTTGCCCAAAGATTGGGGCAACAAAGAGACTGTCCAAATGCAAAGCCAAGACCCATTCTTGTTTACTTTGAGTCATCACAACAGAGAGATTTGATTTTAAAAAAGTCTTATAAACTTAAGGGAACTGGCATTGGAATTTCTACAGATATATTTTCCCATGACATAAAAGACAAAAAAGAAAGAGGACTACCTTCTTCTCAGACGTATGAAAGTATGGATATGAAACTTTTAACTGTGGAGACAAAATCTAAAAGGCATGACTGGGAGTCACCTGACAGTGATAAAGACTTGGAATCAGATATAAATAAGAACAGTTATGCAAAGATATCTAAATCAGCATTTCAAATAAAATCAAGCACTACAAAGGGGATTACTGAGTCCCCAAACACTAAAGACCTTAAAAGAACTGCTGACAATGGCACCTTTTCAAATAGAAGTTATGGCACTCAGTCACCAGAATTTGACAATCTGGAGAAACAATCAAAGGCCTATTATTCAGACATGACTCCTTTGTGGCACTTACAGAATGACTTTGCAACACCAAAGCTCAGTCGTTCAGAGTCAGATTTCTCAAAATTGTGTCAGTCTTACTCTGAGGATTTTTCAGAAAACCAGTATTTTAGCAGAACAAATGGCAGTTCACTATTATCTTCCTCTGATCGAGAACTTTGGCAACGAAGGCAAGATGATTCTACAAACTGGTATGGCGGTTCCCAGGAACAGACTTTTGTCCAAGACATGGAGCAGCATCCGGAGCAAAATGAAATAGAAAACATAGAAACTGTTGATAGTGGAGTAAGCAATGGAATGATCTGTGCATCTGGAGACAGAAACCACTATAGTGATACTCAGCTTGCTTTACATGATGATCTTTCCCCATGGAAAGACTGGAATCAGTTGGAACAAGGGACGGATTTGGACCTAGACACATCCACACAGGAAGTTTTTGTATATGATATGAGTAGCCCTTCAGATCAACAGACAGATTTTGGAAAGGGCCAAGGTTCTGACCTCCAGTATGATACTGAAAGCTATGATTTCACCCTAGATGGTACTTCTCCATCGTGTCCAGGCCTTGATAGTGAAACACAAAGTCAGTGGACTGGTCAATATGATGATTATCAGGATACAAATTCTATGTCTTCTTATCAGAATCAAAACAGATTGCCAATGATGTACCGAAGTCAGAGTGAACTACCAAGCGATGATTCAGAAGAAACAGCCCCTAAATCGTGGCATAGCCGGTTGAGCATAGACCTTTCTGATAAGGCTTTCAGCTTTCCTAAATTTGGGTCTACACTTCAACGTGCAAAGTCAGCTTTAGAAGTAGTCTGGAATAAAAGTACACAAAGTTTAAGTGGATACGAAGACAGTGGATCATCTTTTATGGGACGGTTTAGAACTTTATCTCAGTCTACTGCAAACGAATCAAGTACAACACTGGATTCTGATGTTTATGCTGAGCCTTATTGCTACAAAGCAGAGTATGAGGAAGACTTAATTGAACCATCTGGTGAGAATGAAACAGACTATGTAGAAGTAATGGAACAGGTGCTTGCTAAACTAGAAAACAGAACTAATAGTAGTGAAACTAGTGAGCAAGTCCAAGAATATGAACTGGAGCAGTCTTTGTATGAAACTCCATATGCAATGCTGCCAGAGGAGCAATATGACACACAGTTTGATAGCGTGATCAGTGAAGAGATATTGGAAGTTGAAAGCGATGTGGTTCCTGAGGTAGAAATAAGAGAAGATGAAAATCAGAATGTCCCAGAGACAGTTATTGAAATTCCAAAGAAAAAAAGAATACGGCCATCATTCAAAGAAGCTGCTTTAAAAGCATACAAGAAACAAATGAATGATTTGGAAGAGAAGATCCTTGCTGGAGGTAATAATACTTTAATACTCTTTTAAGTAAAACATTGTTTTCACTAAAGTTGGATGTTCATTTTTGTATAGTACGTAATCCTGCTTCCACTGAATTTGGTGGCTAAAATTCTGCTTCTGTCTGGTTTTATTTATGAGCTGAAATAGTTCCATAGAAGTCAAAAGGCTAAAATTTCACAAGTTTGTTTTGAAAGAGTTTTCTGAACATGTTTAGTCAAACGTGTTTGTAGGTTATTGTATTGCTTTGAACTTCAGTAATTTCAAAATTAAATTTCACAAGATTTAAATCTTAAAAAAAGAACTAAATGGCACACTGTTCTTGGTTTTCTTATAGATTTATAAATGTATGCATTCAATTTAGAGTGTTCAGACATTACCCAGCTTTCTTTAGCAGTTTTCAAGGCATTGTTGGTTCTATATTCATCCTGGTGAGCACTACTCTCCATCATCTGGGCAATTTATTAGGTACTTACAACAGAGAAAGTCTAAATTGATTTCATGTTTGTCCTTATTTTAATTCAGTCCTTATTTGTACTCCCAGGAAGCACTCAGACAGGTAGTCAGTCCCCAAAATTGGGAGGGAGAAGGGTGCAGAGGAAAGACAAGAGTGTAGATTGTAGCATCCATGTATGAATAGTAAAGAACTTAACTCACAGAGGGTGGTAGCACAGATTTATTGTCAGACTTCAAACCAGACAAACATATATATAACTTTAATACCTCTAATAATACACAAATCTGGTGATGTTCAATATTAACATACGCTGTAATGTTAATGTAATAATATTGCATGTGCATTTAATTGGGAGCATAATAATTATGGTAGCTGGCCAGATGGTAATTGTCACCTTGACTGAATCTTTGCTTTCTTTATCTGCCTTGGCAAAGTGATTATCTAATACATTCATTTTGAAGATGAAAAATTGTGCCTGTAGCCAAAGATTTTATTTCGTAGTAATTAGCATCCAAAGCGTGAGCTACTATAGAGCTTCTTTGGTACATGAACAGCTACATTTACAGTAAACATACAGTCAACTTGAAAGTATGTTACACAAGCATTTAAATATTGCTAATGATAGAGTTTACTTTAAAGTCTACTTCTATATTCAAGTAATGACACTAGATCGTATAATTGTATTTTGCAGGTATTTTTCTACAGTAGTGTGTTAGACATTAGATGGTGTATATATGAAGAAACAGCTATCAATAATTAATATTTTCATTATTTTTTCCTGATTTTTATGAGGCATGAGAGAGGGGAATCACAGTCCCTTTACCTAGTTGTTGTAGTACAATAAGAATATGAAGGTCTGAGGGCATAATTGAAGATAACACACAAGGAAGATCCAAAATATTGAAACTCAGATTGGTTCCACTATTTAAACTCTGTGCATTTGTGTACATTGTTAGAAAATAGGAACTAACTTTGATGTTACATCTCATGCAATCACTTCTATAAATTAAATTCTTCTTTTAACCCAGCAGGTGAAAGTCTTTCAGTCTCTTTTTTTTTTTTTTCCTTCTGAGTCACTGAAGTATTTCTTATGTTTACAGAGAATCCATTTGACACCAAGACCAGGTTATGAAAATATGCTGTTGGATGTAGTCTCTGGGCAAAATGTTTCTGCATGGTTATAAGATGTCATACTACGACCTCCATTTTTGTTTCCACAAATAAAATAATATAAATTATTATAAAGGAGAAAGAGAATACAGCATGTGGCTAAGGGGAATTTACAGATGAACTGGTACAGCACACTACTTCTCAGCTTATTCTGAAAACAGTATGCATTGACTCTTGAGTAACAGTTTTGTTTCACACTTTGGTTTTCATGCCAACAAGGAGGACATGTTTCAGTCAGGGATTCTGCCTCAGCAGTCAGTAACTGGTTTGTTAAGAGTGTATCTTCAGGTCCTCTAGCGTTTCTGGCAACAATTATTAACAAAAAAGTCTTTCATGTTTTTATATCTAGTGGATGATATGATATTTTTACGTTTATGTCTGCAGAACATTTAACAATTGTTCAGAATTTAAAACTTTCAAAATATCTTTTCTAGCTGGAGCAGCCTACTACTGGTATGCAGTATTATTGAAGCCAAATATTCCCTTATTTTACCTTCAGCATGCTTTTACTGAACTGGTTAACTGGTATTATAGACAGTCTATTCACAGATAATGAAATCCAGTGGAATCTCCACCCTTGGAGACAGTCAAAAGCCATCTGGGTGTGGTCCTGGGCATTCTGCTCTAGGTGACCCCATTTGAGAGGGTTCTTAGACAAGGCTTCCAGAGTTCCCTTCCAGCCTCAGCTGTTCTGTGATAAGGAAATGCACTTTTGAACCCTTTGTATGCAGCCTTTGAAGAAGGATATGTTCTTAATGTTCTTAATGTCAGTTTGTCCACTAATACAAAATATATTAATCTTCTGTTTATTACTTGAATTGCACATTATTATGGGAAAGAACATCTTATAAATCAGTTCTTAGAGGAGTTCTACAAAGTTCACAGCATGTACAGTTTTTAACTTCTAAGTTATCACAACCCGCCCCCTCTTCTTTATGTGTGAATTGATGTGTGTCCAAATACCTAGTTTATAGTTTAAGTAAATAGTAGTTTGACTATAGTAGTTTAAGTATTTAAGCAAATAGTAGTTTGAGGTATCTTATCTTTATTTTAATATTTGCAGGAGCAATAATAACTTTCAAGAAAAGTGACTAATAGACACTCCAGGGTTCACATGACTTTTATGAATGGGTTTGGTTTTTTTTACTCTGTTACCCCATAACTGATTCACAGTCAGCTTCCAATTTCTTACTTTTGGATGGAAAAGTACTAGCAAGAGAACAAGTTCTTTAAATTAATCTTCATTATATAACCAAAACATAATCTATTATTTAATGAATTGTTTCATCCCTCCATGTAGGCAGGAGTGGGTAAACAACAACCTGGCCAAGCAGAGTCATAACCTTAAAATACAGCAGTGTTAGTTCTTAATTTAATACAAAGGAGAGGTTTAGAGTGATATGATTTTCATTCTAGTAGTGCATAAGGTAAGGTCAATGAAGCTTTGGTACATAAATAATTTATTAGTGCACAAGAACCCCATCAGACAGTTCTATTCTCTGTCTCTAGCTGGTGAGAAAAAATACACTGTGGGCTGATTGCTTATGTGTTATTTATTACAACATGTTTTCAGAGACATACTGGGGTGACTTAATGTGTTATTTGAATGAAAGGAGACATGAGTGGTACATGAGTAATCCTCAGATTTCAAGTTCTGTAAGGATATAGAGGCACTGTGAGGATGGGTGTGTATTAATAGAAGGATTGATGGCTTGAAAAATATCAAAGAAATACTAGCCAGTGGTTTGTTTCTTCGTACATTGTAATCAAGAATAACTTACTCTTTTATTCATTGTTCCACTCCTCACTTGTTTTTTTCTAGCTTTGTTTTTCCCTAGTGTCTTCTTTCATTCCACTCAGTCTTATTATCTTTTACAGGTGCCTTAGAATAAGCATCATTTTCTCTCCTGACAAAACTATCTCTCTGGATAAGATTTCAGAGTTGTATGCCCTCTTCTGAGTTGCTTTTAATGGTAACTTAGTCTCTTTCTATGAATGGTAGTTTGTGAGCAATAACTTCTTGATCTCGTTGAGGAAGATCTTGGTGATCATTTGATATGTCAGATTTTAAAAATCAGACAGATTTTTAAAAACTTTTGGTCTGAATTTTCAGCCACAGAGTAACCCATAGATTGCTTCTGGTGTCAAGGTGGGTGAACTCATCTTGCTCTGTATATACATACAGTGGCCAGTCAGAGGACAGGCCCAGTGATTGCAATTGCCTCTCTAGCACTGGGTGAAAGTGTTCCTAGTGTTTTATAGAAAGCATTTGTATTACATTTAATGATGTCTGACTGGAGAACAGAACTTAGAGATCAAATGTGAGATCAATACTGTTATCTTGCTAACATCTGAAACCAAAGGAACCAGTAATGTATTACCTCACTACCCTTGTGGTGTGGTCGTTTTGTTCTATATTAAGAAAAGCTGCCAGTACAATAAGTAAGCTTATTTCAATGTATATCTCAATCTCTGTTTATTCAAACTATGTCTGGATTTTTTTAACAAATATACATTTTCTTATTTTGACACTTTTTCTGGTTTTTTTAGTAATAACTGTTTACTAGAACTGCCTGAGTCAACTGTATTTTCCCGAAGAGTATAGGCTTTAGAAGTTAATCTAATCTTGTCTTGTGGTACTCAAGACTTTTGTATCCTTTATACCTTACCTCCATCATGTTTGTTTTTAATACAGTTGCATAGATACCCAGGTACTGGTAACTGATAGCTAGTAGTAACTAATAGTTAATAGTATTGTACTGGTTTTGTTATGTGAATATAAATCTTGAATTTGGACTTGAAATGATCAGTGCTGTGGTCCAGATAAAAATCAATTTATCTGGTATTGTTTAGTAAACAAATCAGTAATTTTATACCCATTCAGTTGGAAACAGGATAAATAAAACCATTACTTTGGTCATGGAAATTCCATATTTGTTGGTGGCCTGTTACAAGTTAAATTGCTTTTATATATTGAAGAGTTCTTCTACACTCAGTCTACATAAACTGCATTGGGAAGTGGGCTTTAAGAAAGGACTACTGTTTGTACAAAGAAAAATGGAAAGTAGATGTATATCCCGTCTTATTTTTTAATTGCTTGAGGTAATTATGTCGACTGATTAACATCTTGCGAGTTGTGTTGAGATTTGTGGGGTTTTTTTCCTTGAAAATAAAGTTCCTTCTCAGGATGCTGGTGCAGAATGGAGAAGGGAAGGATGTCTAGACAGACAGTAGAATTCTAGTTTAGTGTATAAGATACTGCAGCAATTAATAAAGATAGGACAAGTATATTTGCACATATTGTGCTAAAATGAGCTGCTTATTCCTTCACTGACCAGTAGTAACAGCTGTTGCCAGTCAGTCTTGTTCATAAGACA